CTTTTGTAAGCTGTTTGGACAGAACTGTGTGTAGTGTGTCATATTGGTCACAGTCATATTGGGGTGATATAAGCACAATAAGTCCCTTTTTTATTTCCAAATGTTAAAATAGGATCTAAATCACTCTCATTTTGAGGCCCACTGCAACATGATATAGGAGTGCGATTTCCTCATCCACTAATTTGATTGACAGCCGCATATTAACATGTCAGTTTAATATACATTAAATTGTCAGTATAACTATAAAAGAAGATGCTATAATCCCGGTTTGTGGATGTTAAATCAAGTTTATTTTGTACATTAACAACAAATATCCATACAGAAGTGGATATAAACATGTATTCTGTCACATTTGCTGTGCAAAAACAGTGCAAACTGTGTGTGTGAGTGAACTTTGTAACAAAACACTGTGTCTTTGCAGAAAGGCTTAAATTAACTCCCCAACAAATACATCCAATAATCATTGGGAAATTTCTTACTGTAGTGTTTCTCTCAAACGTTACGTGAGATCTGCTTTCACCATGTTTGTCACTGTGCTGTTTATCTGTTGCAGCCGAGGCGGAGATTGAGGCATACTCTGACAGGCATGTAGGTATAGTGGGTGTGGAGAGGGCAAAGGCAACAAAAACAGCTAAATTGTGTTCAGAGCAAACAATCCAATATTCTGAAAGGTATAATAAATAATCTGATGGGTGTTTTGTCCGGAAACTTTACAGACACATTCTGTAGACACAAAAGGCTTATCTTAAGTCTCGAAAAAGGGGTAAAATAAGGGCTCTTTAAAACACAGTATGGATTTTATTCTGGAGTTCAGGAGAGTGTGAATTTATGGGCACAAGCTGTGACAGTAAAGATCTGGCCTCAGGGCTGAATTGAATAGTCAAGAATGAAGATGAAGGAACGGAAGAAAGAGAGGGTGCTTGAGAGCTGTCGCTAACATCCTTCTCACAATGAAGTTATTGTGGCATGTCCTGCTCCTGAAGTATGGGCTCTCTTCATCAAGTGCAAAAAAAAAAAAAAAACCCATAGGCCTTAATATTTTTTTAAAAGAACACATGTATTTGCTCCACTTCACAACAAAGAAGAATCCTTTCGACTTTTACACTGCCATATATGCCGGTGCTAATCAAACCATACAAAGCATAGAAGCATCATTTCAAGTTTAGCAAAACTGATAGATTGACTAAAATCAGAAAAAAAAAAAAAAAAAAAAACGTGACATAAAATTCTCGCTGCAACATTTTGTTTAAAGGCAAACTGTATTAGCATGATCAAATTTTTAAGAGTCTTGTCTACAATGCTACTACTTTCTGAGAGCTCTATAAGGTCGATGGGGGAGGATTTGATCATGTGCTCTAAGTGCTGTAGGCTTAACAGGGAAATAGAAATAAATGTGTTTTTTTGGGAGGCTGGAGTAATGAGGAATGACAGAGACATAATCCCTGTGTGTAACCTCAGTAAACACTGGTAGCGGTGGTGTGGGGAGGGCCACCGTGGCTGACAGGGTTGAGCCCTGTCCTCTTCCCCCTGCTTAAATGGAATTTACGTTAGGTTAGCACCAATGACAAAAATCCAATTTGCAACATTATGCTGCTGGCAGAAATCTAATTTAAAGATGACTGCATTACACGTTTTCACTTACATTCCATTCGGTTAGGTTAGGAGACTTCAGTTACGGTAAATCAGGAGACTTGTGTTCACTCTCAATCACCTGCATGAGAAGAACAAGCTCCCAGTTCTCAATTTCATTTATGGTCAACCAGGCAAGAATGGGGAAATCTGAGGACTGGAGGAAGGGGATGGATGGAATGAAACATGGAGAAGCAGTTAGCGATTGATAAAGAAAAAGAAGAAGAGTCAAAGATGTCCCCTGATGCTACAATCCTCTTCTGAAGAAGTGCCTGTGCGTGAGGAGATGCTAAGTGTCAAACCATCTGCTTTCGACCCTTCAAAAGAGGCTCCGGACCAAACCTGGCTTATTAAATGGGGCGTCCCACAGCTACAAAGAAAGCTGCTCAGGTATTGCATACACAGATGCACTGGCTCTCCAGCAACTCAATGACACATTCCCACGCTTCCTTACAACCAAGAAATCCCAGACCAGCTGTAAAGTTGTGTCTAGATGGCAAACATGATTCTCCGAAAAGTCTATGAATATGGTTATGGTGCTTATACATTAAGGAATTCAAGAGTTCCATCGTACACATGGTGACTTATAATCAAAATCAACAAATGTTTGTATTTGTGGCCTAACGATTAGAGAGTTGGACTTGCAACCCAGAGGTTACAGGTTTGATTCTCAGTACTGGCACCGTAAATGCTCATGGCTAAGGTACTTTTGAGCAAGATACCAAACCCCTGATTGCTCCTGGATACTGCTCTGAGTGTGTTCTCACTACGAATGGTCAAATGCAGAGGACAAATTTTAAGCCTAAGTTCAGTGCATTCTAAATATAGACACATGAGTCTTCCAGAACAACAGTTACTGTCTAGACAAAATCCAGGCATGACCCATGACAACAAATGAAGAGGGTACTTAGATGACTATAGGGTAATTACCAATATTCGGCTGTTACTCTCAGCACTTACTGCCACATTAGTCTGTACCTTCAACAAAGACCCAAATGGGAATGGCTTGATCTCTTAAAGTCTGGCACTGATTCTTAACTGCAGCCCGACGTCTGGTTGAAAAAGACATAGACTGACATAACGGATGGCTAGCGCTCATCAGAGGCTCCAGCACCCTGTCCCCCGCCACCATGCTGCTTATTTAGAGCCTCTCGCTGCAATCCATTTTTCATTCGTACTCTGGGTTTCCTGCTTCAGGAGATGCTTAACGTTACGTCCATCCGCCAGCCCGTGGGGCCAAAAGTTGAGAGTAATGTGATCAGTAATGAATTTTGTGTTACATTAGGCTGTATAAATGGACGGACAAGCGCAGACTACAAGTGTCCGGGAGTCGGGCTTAATCTAATGATGCAAAAATAGAGACAGAACCAATTATGGAGAGGGCCAACTCGGTGCTGCTGCAGGGACTGCAAATGAATAGGTACAAATCAAATTAGTGCCTAATAGACGCGCTACGAGAGAGGGCCAGTCGATGCTAAATGCATTAGGGCCTTGTGACCTCGCTGCTCCAAGCAGCGGCGTCCAGGATCCAACCTCCATCTTCTCCAGATATCAAAGAAAGTCTTGTTCAGACGAGGGGGGAGGAACACAGAGCAGCAGCTTCCTAAATGAGTTAAACATTTGGATTGTCAAGAGTGGCAATTTCCCCCCTCATTTCGCTCAGCTTCTCCCTCAATGCGAATGACCTAATTTGTTATTGTAAAATGTGTCTTTTTCAAGATCTGTACGAGCAATACGCCAGGACATATTCTTATCTCTGCTTAGTTCAAACAGGATTGAGCTTTCACAACTGATTCCTCTAGTCACTTGCGGTATTAGCAAGAAAAAAAACAAAACAGGATTTTTTACCTATAATTTCTGAGGGAGTTAGTTTACTTTTGAGGTTAATGAGCTACTAATGAGGAGCACTACCTTGGCTGAGGTTCTGTTGGCAAGTCTTTAATATAAAGAAAAGCTAAAATTTTTTAAGAAAATTTTTGAGCATCTCACAAAAATGAACATTTCCATTATTGGGCAATATATTGAATTTATTGTATTCTTTAACTTTTTACTTTTACTTAAAAAATTTATATTTACAAAACAAAAAGCATTACAGTGTACGGCTGCAGGGCTGTTATGACAAAACGGATGGTCTCTTGATATTATTAGAATTATAATAAATGTTGATTAATGGAATAAATCCCAAAAAATATTAAAAGCATTTTATATTCTGCCATGACACACCAATCATGTCGGTCTATCGCAAGTTACAAAACTTTCATTATAATTATTGTATATAATAATTGTGTAAATGGCAAAATTCATCTCTTAATGGCATCACAATGGCTTTTTGCTGCATGATTAGTAAATTTGCAATGCAGGGCGACGCGGTGGCGCAGTAGATAGTTCTGTCAACTCACAGCAAAAAGGTCACTGGTTCGAGTCTCGGCTGGCTCAGTTGGCGTTTCTGTTTGGAGTTTGCATGTTCTCCCTACGTTCGCGTGGGTTCCTCTGGGTGCTCCAGTTTCCCCCACAGTACAAAGACATGCGGTAAAGGTGAATTGGTTAGGCTAAATTGTCCATAGTGTATGAGTGTGATGTTTTCCAGAGATGGGTTGCAGCTGGAAGGGCATCCACTGCGTAAAACATATGCTGGATAAGTTGGCGGTTCATTCCGCAGTGGCGACCCCAGATTAATCAAGGGAATAATTAAACTCTGCTGTATTTGGTAGAGATCTAAAAGTCCTTGGTTGACCTCTGTATTTTATAGCCTTAAAGGTATAGTTTAGTTTACCCAAAAATGAAAAATCTATTATTATCAACTCAACCTCCACTTGTTCTAAGCATATTTGAGTTACTTTATTCTGAGAAGATATTTAAAAAAAGCTCAAAACAGTTTCATATTACTAATATATTATTTTTTCCTAGTCTCCAAGATTTTTCAAAATATCTTTTATTGTGTTCAATGGAAAAGAATAACTCAAAAAGATTTGGAACCCCATAGGGAGAGTAAACGGTGAGTGAATTTTCATTTTAAACTATGCCTTTAAGCTCAACAGCAATGTATATGACTGATGCACATATTTAAATGAAATGTTGCGATTACATAAATGTTCTGGTTTTATTAAACTTGGTGGCTTTTTTGCCACAAGCTTCCATTACTATCAATGACTTATATTAAATAAAAAAATAAAAAATCTGATGAAACATAAATCTTGGAATTAGAGAAGACAATGATGAAAAAAATGATGAAAGAATATTTTTTTAATGTAATCTCTTACCAACATAGAAAACATTACTGTATAAATATTAATTACAAACAATTCCAGAGTATAATCAAATAGATTACTGAACGCGTTGAAAACACCATTATTGAGAAGTCATCTGCTCACCTGTTCCAGATCCCACAATGTCTCTGCTGGGCGACTCTGACATGGCGTCCGCCAGCCTCTCCTTCAGGCCCTCTTCAGTGGCTTCCACAGAGGGCATGTGACGCAGTCCGAAACTCTCAGGCCAGCTGCCACACACCTCCAGCAGGGTGACGCTGCGGTCAAACATGCCTGCCAGAAACACCAGAGAGAGAGCAACAACAGTTCATCCACCATTCTGATTCACACAGAATTAAAGCTCATCAAACTGCAATTACTTTCACCCTTTAGATGTTTCTTGTCAGAGTGAATGATGCCTGCTTACATTTACATTTATGCATTTGGCTCCCGCTTTTATCCAAACACACTGAAATAGGGCTGTGCAAGACAACAGTATAAGACAACTTAACCTATGGACAAAATTAAATGATTCCATGGTATCAAAAAATTCACTTTTTAAATTTGCTTTAATACGTTCTCATAATTTATATGAACACAACATTACACACCATTATGAGAATGCAGTCAGAAACATGAATAAATGTAATGTGACAAAGTTGTAATCTCAAAATCACAAAATGCTTAAGTGTATATATATATATATATATATATATATATATATATATATATATATATATATATATATATATATATATACACACACATACATACATACAATATTAAACATTTGAAGTAGATAAACCTTTCATTAAAGTTCTTCAAAACGTTCAGACAACCCATTCTTGTCTATGGACAATTTTAAATAAACTTTTTTGATCCACTTCAAATGTCAAATGTCGCCACAGCGGCCAACTTGTCCAGCATAGGTTTTACGCAGCAAATGCCCTTCCAGCTGCAACCCATCTCTGGGAAACATCCATTAACACTCATTGACACTCATTCACACTCATACACTACGGACAATTTAGCCAACCCAATTCACCTGTACCGCATGTCTTTGTACTGTGGGGGAATCTGGAGCAGCAGATGCCCTTCCAGCTGCAACCGAACACTGGGAAACACACATACACTACAGACAATTTAGCTTACCCAATTTACCGTTACCACATGTTTTTGGACTTGTGGGAGAAACCGGAGCACCCGGAAGAAACCCACACAAACCCGGGGAGAACATGCAAACTCCACTTAGAAATGCCAACTGACCCAGCCGGGCCTCGAACCAGCTCCTTTTTGCTGTGAGGTGATTGTGCTACCCACTGCGCCACCGTGCTGCAGATGTTGACTATTATACATTTATTTGTAAACATGAGGTTTTTTTTAAGTGTTTTAAAATGTAATAATATTTGTTTTTTATTTCTTCATGTAACCAAACATTTGTTCTAAATAAAGTGAGAAATATGATCACATATGAATGAGCAAATATCTGAATATATACTTTAAAATGTAATAAAAATAAATAGTCCTTGACATGTGGTCAATATATATATATATATATATATATATATATATATATATATATATACTTACAATTATATATATATAATTGACTGAGCCCAGCCCTTGGCCCATGTGAAGGTACACATTTTATCCGTTCTTGTTTAAGAATTGAATGTTTGATTATTTGAACTGAAAAGCTAAGTTAGCTAAACTTGCAAAAACCACAGCATAAAAAGCCTTGTAATTCTCAAATCACATCAAAGTCATAATACATAATGAACCTGAAAAGTGTCTATGGCTGTGCTGGTGTAACTCAGAGGTCATAAACAGCTATCTGTGTTTCATCTGGCACACATCGCAGCTCAAGCCTTCCTCAGACAGGGATAGAAAAGAGGAAATGACTGACCCTTGAAAAACAGCACTGTGGGCCAATACAACTTCAAACAAAAACATTGGCCTCATTTTTTCTCCTCCAGCAATAAGCGCCTAGGCTAATAAAAGAGATATTGCATGAAGGCGGGTGGGGGGTGTGAAAGAAAGCACAGTTCGTCCGTCTGTTGTGATGCTACGTTTCAGCGGTGGCGTCTTTCTATTACAGATACCTGATGCATGAAAAACTGCCGCTTTATCTGAACAGGGCCTTTGATCTGTAGGCCAGTGACTATCTGGCCTTGTCTGGCTTCTCTGCAAACCCTCAGCCACACTGCAAGCCTCTGACAGGCGCTAATGTGCGGGCGAGAGAGGAGCGCGGGCGGCCGGTGCCATTATCTGCTGTAAAACACCAGTCCGGCCAGACTCACAGACAGCAGATAACTTCATACCACTTCATAAAACGCTGTTTGTCCCGTGTGTGCAGTTGACTGCTCAAAGCTCTAAAATCAGCCGAGTCAACAGGAATGCTGGCATCAAAGAAACTTCCTGCTGACGCTAGAGCTCACATCGATTCAATCCACAGTTCTGGATGTTGATTAAATTATAATAATAATTGAAAACACTATTGCATATTTAACCATTTTTTTGTTTTTTATGGGGTCTTGCCATTTCATCATGTTAAGAGTTAATGCAGAAACTGAATTTTAGTTTCAAATTCAAATAATCAAAATGAATGAATGAATGAATGAATGAATGAATGAGCAGGCATTTGGCCCCTGAGTATATTTCTGAGCTAATTAATAAACATCAACCCATAAAATCCCTTCGCTCTAAGAACAGACTCTATTTGACAGTTCTGCAACATTCTTGAAATGTTGAGGTGATAGAGCTTTTCCAGTAGCAGCCCCAAGCTTTAGAATGATCTTCCACTCTCCTTAAGAACATCTCCTACTTTGGAGTCTTTTCAGAGGTCACTAAAAACACAGTTATTTTCTTTAGCTTTTTATTATGTAATGTAAGTTTATGTTTTTTGGCTCCTTGATTGTTTGCATATATTTTGTGTTTTTATGTACAACACTTTGGAACCCATTGTGATTGGTTGAAAGTGCCCTAGTAATAAAATTTAGTTGAGTTGAGTTTAGTGTGTAATGATTATTTGAATGTGTAATGATTATAAAAAAATTTTATAATCCTATAACTTTACATGAAAAAAGGACAAGTACAATACATACATTTAACACTCAGTGTGTATTTATTTACTTTTCCCTTTTGATAAATTAAAATAAAAGTTTGATGTACTAAGTAAAATATAAGATGTCCTAAAATTTTGGTTGCAATCAATCAAAAAAAAAAAAAAAAAACAAGATTACAGATTACTAATATAAAGCAGCAAAGTTTCTGTAGCAAAGCACCAAACAAAAACAAAACAAAACAAAACTAAAATTAACCAAACAGAAAACAAGAGAAGAAAAACCAAACCAAACAAAACACAAAATAAGAAAAAACTAACCAAACCAAAACAAGCCAAACCAAACAAAACCAAACAAAACACATTACTTTCAGCACAACGCAGCACATCATTAAACTAAACCAAAAAAATAAGATTCCTAGAGTTACTGGTCAGCAACAGAGTTGGGTGTAAGGCGTCCTACAGTAACGCGTTACTGTAATCTAATTACATTAGAGGTATCTTCTGAATGTGAAGAGAAGCATAAGGCTGTTTACATATCACGTCTTTTGCGTGCACGCACATATTGGGAGCGCATATTGCACGCGTTCTCATTTACCAGGTGCACGAACTGACTGATCATCTTCATACTTCATAAGGAATTGACTAATCACCTCTGACTAAAACATAACACTTCAGTGCTTTTTCATACTATGTATAGATGTCAGTGGTTACAGGTTTCTTCATGTCCAACATTTGAGTAAAACAAAAAAAAGAAAAGAAAAAAAAGAAGAAAGAAAGACAAACGGGTTTGGAACAAGTAAATGATGAGAGAATTTCAAGTTTTGGGCAAACTCTCTTTAGCTCTTTTGAATATGTCAAGCTGTTGTGATCAACCCATTGCAATGTTTTTAGTGAATATTAAATTACTGAAAAAGCAGCAGTTTATTTAGTATTTTCATAGGTTTGTTTTATGTTTTAAAGTAACTTTAAAGCTAAGTAATTAGTAATCTGATTACTTTTAACATTAAGTAATTAGTAATGTAATCAGATAAAAAAATTTCCAGTAGTAACTTACCCAATACTGGTCGGCAAACTGTTAAGAGTAATCCTAAATCATCTGACTAGAGCAAATGAGTATTTTTTATGGTCAGGTTCGTCATACCGTTGAACAAATTTAGCTAGGCCAGAGAATGCACCTCTGCAAGTGTTATTTCACCTCATCCCAAAAAAGAACAACACAGACGGAGGATGTGGGGTCAGAAGTTCACCTCCGCCAATAGGGAAGATCTCTTCATCAGACTGGCTGACAGCCGCCACAGCCCACATTCCCCATTATTCACACCCGTCACAGCTCAGCCTCACCAATTCAATAAGAAAACGCCAAGACCAAAGGCCCGAGCGGCTACACGTGGATCCTCGCGTGCTCCTCACGCTTTTAATTCTGTGCTAGCAAATCCTGTCTGAAGCACTGAGGCATGAGGAGATGATGTTAACATTTAACAGACAGGAAAGAAAAAAACCATCATAAAACCCATGTTGGTCAGTCGTCTCCTAGACATTGGCAAATGTGGCGGACACACATTATCCTGTTTCTGGGCTACAAGGGGCACTGGAGAAGCGTAAACACTAAAAAGAATAGCAAAGGTGGGACTAATTCAATTAGGTTTTATTAAGGGGCCATAAGTGAAATTGAGTTGACAAGCAATTATGCTTCAGGAACATGTGTTAGAGTTGTGTGGTGTTGCTCACTTGTGTCTGAAAACAAATAGCTTTCTGGTGGAAAACGGGCAGTGTGTAAATCACGGGTTGTCTTTTGTTCAAGAAGGCATCTGCTGGAACGACCCCTGCTGAGAAAGCCGTCAGTTTTCTCTGGCCTTTCGCCACTTTTATTTGAAAGAGGGGAGACAGAGGACAGGAAATGATGGGGAGAGAGAGGTGGATCAGGAACAGGAAGTTCACATATGATCTATTATACACACTGGAATATGTGCATTGAACACCCACTCATAAAAATAATGATAAATAACTTGACTTTTCTGAAGTGACTGCCATTATTATGCACTACACTTAAAATTCTGATATAAAAACAAAATGAGCATAAAAGATGTACTGAAAAAATAAACCAGATAAAAGGGTTAGTAAAATATTGTACCATAGTTTAATTAACTATTAAAACTGATATGTGAAATTGAATTGGGGAATGTAGGTTAGGCCATCATAAATGATCAAAATAACCCATCGAAAAAGTTTT